AATACATTTTGTACGTAGAATATTATATTTTTAAAATTTATAACTATTATATTTATAGAATATGAACAATATCTGACTTATGTAAAATCAGAAAAAAGTCAAAAATCAAATGTAGTACAGTCTTTATCGCTAAGCATAAAAAAGAAGAAAATCTCAAGTGTAAAGATGAACAAGACCAATGTGTTGAAACAGGAAAGTCTGTTTTGTTCATGTTGCCAATAAAGAATTGAAAAGCAGTGAAATAGTGTTTTTTTTTGTATTTCTAATGCAGAAGCTAGTGTGAAAATTTTACCCAAAAAGAAATTAAAAGTGAACATTAAAGTTTCGGTAAATACGTATTTAATCCTTGGGATTTTTTCCCTCGATGAATTTTATTTCGTGAGTTTTTTTCCGTTTACGTATAGGAGTTATTGACAAAAAGATAGACTCAACTAACAATATTTATTACTTATTTGGGTTAATTTTTGTTAAGTTAATTTTGAATATATCTAGGAAACAACGTACGGGGTTAAACGCGGTAATGTTGAGAGATTTTTCGTTATTATTTTATACAGTAATGTATGTAGGTACACACATAATTATGTTGGTCTTTGTTGAAATCCAGAAATGTACAGTCAATACTTTAATAGTCTACAATTTTGTATTTACAATAAATATAGGTGGTTAATGTTATAACACTATAAATAATATTAAATTTTTTTTTTATTTAGGTACCTATATAAATGTATAAAAAATAATGTGCACAAAATAAAATATATTTAAAATCTATGGGGTTCATATTAAGAGAAAAAACGTATTTAATAGTGACATGTCTATAAAATTAATTACCTTATGAGTAACTTCATACAAATGAAGAACAAATGTTAACTCGTTAATTTAGAAATAACTTTTAATGAAAAAAGTAACTCGTTATGTAATTTAGTTAAACGTTACTTAACTTAAGCTTTTTAACTCGTTAATGACAATAAGGCTCGAAACAGTGTATATTATAAAAATGTGAATAATTTTTGAAAGGGTCAGTTTTGTATCCATTGACCATTTGTCCAGGGTCAAAGCGGTCGTACAACTGGAGATGTATTTTTCGGGGTTGCTATTCATTTACCAGCCATAGAGTGTTTTATGTACGAGATACAATAATGTCAAGTATTCGGTTGACAGTTCTGGAATTCCGTGGTATTTCTGTAGCTGCTGCTGTGCCGATTGTTTGCGTGTTCTTTTATACGTAGGTTACTACATAACATAGGACGAAATTAAACTTTTCCGGTTTAACCATCCCGCCGCCCTTCTTGTCACTACATTTACACTTTATATACCTGTAGAATGACATTAATTAAGGAGTGACGACGATACTGTAGTGACGGCACTCGAGCCTTTGTCTGTTCTCTATTTTTTTTTACCATTCTTTCACCTAGTCGTGGACGTCACGAATTCAATTCCTACTGTGTAACTTTGTGTCACCAATGCTTTTAATTTCAAAACCTTTAGTTACTTACACGTACGAATTATACATCTTTCGGGTGGAGATTTTATTTCAGTATTTTTTTCAAACCCGTCTCTTGTATTAATTGCAGAGCTTATTATACAAACATATAGCGTTGCTAATAATGTAGTTATTATGTTAAATGTTAATTAATAATAGATTAATTCACAAGGCTATTATAGCTGGTTGTGTAAAAAGGAATTTTAATTTTAGTAGCGAAGAAGCAATTAGTTTTAATATGATACTCGTAGGTATATGCTTACGCTTTTTGGTTTGTATTTGTTTCATAAAATGTTCATACAAGGAGTGCTTGAAATGTTTCCTACAACTTAACAGCTATACCTATTAGCCTTCTACCGATTAGAAGATATTATTAAAATACATGGAATGAAAATTATGAAATGTACTGTAATATTGATTTTATTAATTTTATAATTTAATTATTGATATTGTATAATATTATTGTTTTCGAATCTATATATTTTACGATTAACCTTGGTACAGAGTAAGTTTTATTAGAATTGTAGAAAAAACAATATCGGACAGTGGCATACGCAGAGAGGATAACGGGCTGAAGCCCCCCATCCCTGTTGGACGTATTATTTTTTTTAAAAATATTTATCAATTTTCAACTGTTTAGTTAACTAGTTAACAAGGACGTACATTCATATACTCGTTTTAACGGATTAGCAAAGCCTTCATAAATACAAAATGGGACAGTTGGAACCGTTCTGCTGTACAATATAGGTGTCGAGTGGGTCACTGTAATGGATGTGTTTAATTTTAATTCAATGATATCTATACACCATTATTGTATGCGAAACACGAAACTGAGTGAAGACGATGTGTTGTCATTCTTGGATATTTTATTTTACCATATCTTAATATTGATTTTATTGGTAAATAATATAGGTACTAGGTAGGTGGAATTCGTTTAAAAAAAAAAACATTGTATTTGCATACCTATTTTCCTAAAATAATCATTGATTTTTTTGTTACAGTATAAACTAGGTACTCATATGAGGGACCTTGTATTAAATATTCAAGACTTAGCTATAAAAATGGAAAATTTTTGTAAATTTTTAACTACAAATTAATTAAACTCAATATTTGAACTGCTTTAAAAATGAATTGTTTCTATGTGTCGTTAATATTTTTAAATAACTATAGTACAACTTATGTGTAACTTTGTATTAAGTTTTTAATCTTTTAGCCAAACAAATACATTTTCATCGACGTTTTTACGAAAAAAAATCTAAAATTAATTAAATACAATTGAAACGAAAACTATCTAACCAAGGTTACCAAACAATTTTTTTTAATAATGATTATATTACAATTTAAACAAATTTAAATTATTTTAAAAAGTACAGAGACTTTTCAAAAGTACTAAATAGTTCCAATTTTCTACCAAGAACCTCCATTAAAGTTGATGGTCAGAGCATTTTTTCTACTAGAAAAATTGAGAAGTTGAAAATGTTCATCAAATACCTCACCTGGTCACCTAAATGTCTGAATTTATTAGACTGGGCAAAATAAATATATAACTGTAATTACTAATCCCCCCCCCTAACACCCTTTGAAATTCTGCATACGCCACCGAGTTTTTGTAGGCTAGTTTTGTGTTTTGAAAATCTACAAATTCTACAAATCAACACATACTAGTTTATTATGAAATATTATTAAATACTAGCTGATCCCGTGTGCTTCATTACCCATTAAATGTACCAAATCTATATGACTCAAACTTTGTTCAATTCGTTGTTTAATATTCAGTGTATGGTGTTTAAAATTCATCTTAACTTTTCCGTTGGCCGGGATAATAATAATAATTCTGATTCGCAGCAGTATATTATCAGGTAGGCAATCTACCTGCGGTAGATCGCGGACCCCTTGATGTTTGTACGTAAATGAATGATTTAACTCTAAAATATCAAAGTTATACCAAGTTTGTTGTATTCCACCTAATGGTGGATTAATATAATCAGTTAATACAAAATCCTAACCGTACTAATATCAGATGAATAAAAAAAACCAAATTTAACCATTTTTAAATTAGCCTGTCTTCTTCCTAGAGATCCAATCTACACACAAACATTCATATTTTATTTATATTGACAAAAAACAAAATACAAATCAACAAACATGCCCGATTAACCAGTAGAAACCAATATAAATTATAATACACTGTTGCGCCACTGTTGTATTTTTTCATCCAGATTTCCTACTTTTCCGGTTGATTTTCCTAAAATTTTCTTTCGTATAAATCTTCTCCTGTTCAATTACGAACATCTTAAACAAAATTTGAGCCATTTCGGACCAGCCGTTCTCGAGTAAAAAATAAAAATAAAACAATAACTATAATACAAATCAACAAACATGCCCGATTAACCAATAGCAACCAATTTACCATACACTATTATTATTTTAATCTGAAACTAATTTTTTTATTATTTAGTTAATTTTTCTCTGGACAGATGGCGCCACTATTGTATTTGTTGACATTCAAATTTTCTACATTTCCGGTGGATTTTTCTAAAATTTTCTATCGTTCCAATCTTATCCAGGCAATTACGAACATCATAAAAAAAAATTTAGCCAAATCGGTCCTGCCGTTCTCGAGTTTTATCGAGACAACCGAACGGCAATTAATTTTTATATATAAAATATTGTTACCTATGATTAAATAACATTATGTCAATTGAAAGTATCAATTAAATTTTTCGCTTTCTTTACATCACAGAGTATTGAACCAGTGGCGTGTAGAATATTTTTTGTGTGAGGCCCGATGTATTTTTATTTTTACTACCACCACCACTGCTTTTATAAGTACAAACTGTACAATTTACAAGTCCCCTATCTTCCCAACGGTTTGTTATTTGTTAACATTCAATTCTCTATTATGACAAGTGAATCTCATATTATTCTCATGGCCTCACATCAGTACACCCCACCACCCACCCATTTATGTTAAGGCACAGACCTCAAAAAATTAATCTTCACCACGCCACTGTATTGAACTATATTTTTGTCACTGCTGTAAACTTCTAGAGTGAAATTATTATTTTAATTAAAAAGTTTTGATTCTTTTTGTTTAATTATTTATAGGCTATTATAATTGTTTATTAATCAACAATTGTTCTCTTAATCGTACAATTATAGTAGGTACTTACTGTTTTTTTTTTTTCACAAACTTGTAATAAATTGCATATTGTTTTAGGTTTGAACTTAATAAACTTCATATTTGCATTAGGTATATTGTAATTAAAAAAAAAAAACACATCATAATAAGCGGAAATATTGCACAAGAAGTTTTGCATAAAAGATTTTCTTTTCAATATGACAAAGTGTAGATAAAAACGATTAGGTAACAAAAATAAAATTTATTAATCACTTGAAAAATTAAAATTAATTCAAAAAAGTAAATAATAAATTAAATTAAATTAAATGTATTTGAACAAAATTCGTATGACTTTTAGTTGTACTAAAAATGTAAATGGAAACAATTTTAGGGGAATAGATGTTTCCGTCAAAAGCTCATTTCACACTTGTTAATACATTTAACAGTAAGACATATTACATGCTATCTGTTGAAACTCCTTATCGGCTGGCATTACTACCGAAAGACTTAGTCGTCAAAGTCAATGATTCAGATCACACACCCTATCACATTTGCAACACCCGCAAAATCTACGAACAATACTATGGTATTCATGGAAAAAGTGGACTAGCAAACAACGTGTTGAAGGATTTTTTTATATCAAGGAGTAAAGAAACCGCATTGTCCTTTATTTAAAGAAATCGTACACGCCATTGGTGGTTTATAGCATGGGGGTTAACCAGCGGGTGTTTGAAGTTCTATCCAATTCGATATTCAACCTCCTTCTCGATTGTTCGGATAATAATGACCGAATTTCACAACTTATCAATCTTGTTAGTATTCACACTCAAATTTAGTGAACTTCTTCTCTAGTTCTCTGTGATCTCTATAAAGTTTCTCTGGTCTTGAAAATCATCATATAATTTTGCGAAAAAAAGTTAGAAAGTTTCGTATACCATCTAATTACTGTACAGCGTGTAATAATTTGTGATGAGCATACATTTATTATAACGAATACTTATTAAATTTGTTTTTCCTCACAATTGATCGTCTTACAATCTAAAACCATTTATCTTAATAAATTATTTCGTTAATGAAAAACAACGTAATTATATTTACAACTATGTACTTTTTATACACGGACAAAAATGCTATTTTAAATATTTTTTAATTTTTAATTTTTACTGTTATCTTGAATTATTTAAATTTTTTAATGATTATCAGCTGTACTTCTAATTTGATATTTAGATTAGAAATTGGTTATCAAGACAAACAAAAAATGTCAAACTTTTTGAAGTAATGCAGATTAATTTTGTGGGTATCCCATGCCCCTTCAAATCCCTTACCAATACTTTCATTGATTTATATTGATACATTTTTGGTTCAATATTCGTTTTATTACATATTCATATAAACATGCAAATTGTTTTATAAACAATTAGTAATAGACATTAGTAGTTAAATGAAGTATAATTAATCAGTTATATTTTTAAGACTCAATTAATAATTATATTTAAAATATTTTCACTGATATAATTGATTTTTATTACTTATGTATTTATTAAAAAATAATAAGGGACTAATTTAAGGGACGTTAAAAAAATTTGTCTTTTCAGTTGAATTTTTATGAATAATATTTAATATTATTATACATATGTTTACAAAGTTTCCAGTTATTTATCCGATAATTTTAATTATTTATGATTGTGATATGAGTTACGGTGAAATTATCTTGTACAACCTTCTTATTTAATTAAAATAATAAAATTATAATAAAATTGTAATAGTTAAATATACAGTAATATATAGTAATATTTAAAATGATATTGGATTGAAAAAAAATACTTCCAATCATCACCTAACCATCGAAGGTAATTTTTATTGTATCTTTGTTGATGTATAATTATTATACTACAGTCTATGTCCACTTAATCATTATTTTCTTATTAGGTACCTATTTAAAAAATCAATTCAAAATTCAGTGTAAAACTGTCATTAATTTGTTGTAAACGGTATTTTTTTATTTCTAGTTGACATGTTATTGTTTAGTATGTGTTAAAAATCGCTTTATAATTAAGATGATTACATAACTAGAAATTAAACAACTTATCAAAAACAGAGACCTAAATTACCATTTAAACTTTTAGATTAAAAACTGTCGCTTTTTGTGTTGCATCGATGTGTTTTCCTTTGAACGGGTATTGTGTTAGAATAATGTATAGTATTCATGTATGAAATATAACTGTAAAGTTTAATACTACAGTAATATTTTCGTAATCATTCACAGAAAAAAAATAATCTCACTTTTAAATCATTAATAAACTTTAAATACAAGATTACGGGATGGTATAGTCAAACTTAAAAAAAACCAAAAGGGAATAGTAGATGGATGTCGCCCTTGGGTATTAATATATAGTTGTGTTGTTCGTGTGAAGCACAACTATAACATTTTGAACTGTCATGCCATCTTGATAGCTGTGATTGAAGAGTATATTTCTGTGTGGAAAAAATGTCCCTGATTAAGCCAGGCCCCACATTATCTGATTCGATTTTTTGTCGGCCAAAAGAAACTCCATCACAAGTATATTGAATTTATTTTGATTTACTGTCTTAAACCGTCACAGCAGTTAGCAAATTATAACATAGAACTATTGTCAATATTTTATTACAATACGTGTGTACAACAATATGAAAGTCATAAAAAACAAAATATAGACTCTGAATAAATACTTCTTTTTATTTTTTTAATTTTGATGATGAATTACTTACGCACGTGCGTTTTCTACTTTTATATAGTTTTATTTGATTATTAAATATGGGTATTAACAACAACATCTCAATTTTTCTTTATTTAGTTATTAGTATTAAAATATCTGACAGTTGCAATCGATAAATGATAATTGGTTATTTAAACGAGTGTTGAAATTTTATACTTAGATCAAATAAAATTGATGGTAGGCTGTCATTTTGTCGTTGATCTGTAATTTGTATATAATAATATAATGTAATAATAAATAATTATCCTTTAGATGTACCAGAAATGTTTTCGATCTAAAGCATATTTCCTGAGTACAAAGTTGTGTTCTGCCGGTCTTGTTTTTAAATTGATTTTTAAGAACACCCAAGGGGTGAATGCATTAAAATATGACACGTTTTACTTATGGACATACTGTACGCTTACAATAGACATTTTTGAAAGCTTTAAATTAATCTTTATAGATATTTCATTCCAAAGTTTTGAAATATAATTATTATTTTCGTTATAATTATATTTTATAACGAAATGTATTTGATTCATTTTGTAATTTATTTTCAGAAAATATAATATGTAGGTACATTGTACAGAGTTGTGAAATAATAAAAGATTTTTTTTTTACATAAATTAAAGATTTGTATTAGAGTAACCTACATAAAAAGTTGACACCTCAGTTTTCTAAAGTTCGACTCAGAGGGATAATGTGGCATTATTTTCTCACTAAATACGGATTTGTTCATTTTACGAGATAAAACATTATTTTATATCTTTGATATTAATAATATGACAATATTTTGTTGAAAATATCTGTGATCATTTTTATTAATAGAAAATAATGAAATATAATGTAAAAAATGTTGACTTTTGTTAGAATTATAATAACATTAATAGGTAACGAACATAAGTTAACTAAATATACTTTACCGGTATGATATTATTCGGTTTATCATCAATCTTGTAACTATTACTTGTACTTACCTACATTACTAGATATGTATATTCAATATTGTATAAATTATAATATATTTGTTGTAAATGTATCTAAATATTTAAACACTCCTGTTAATTAATTCAGTTGTAGATAATATAATTGAATTTGGTAGTATATACACCATATAAGTACGGTGGAGTGTATCATTAAAAAAATTGATGTTGCTCGAATAATTTTAGGTGACCTACCCCTAATAATACTGTTATACCGACCTGTACAATTTCCTATTTTTCTTCTATCAACACCCACCCACCCATATTTAAGGTGTTGCCTGAGCAACACTTGGACCCTATATTACAAGCTACTGTACCTATACGTAGGTAAAATCAAAAAGTAAACGTCTTAAAAATAAATCAAAATATACGTTTATTGTCGTAACAAGATGTTTCTTTTGACTTTCAGAAATCCTGAGTCATAATTAATCATATCTGGAAAGCAGCCTTTATAATAAACACATATTTTTCGGTTGAATATTACAAAAAAATGTCTTTTGAACGTTAAAGTAAAGTGGGTTTAAATTTTAGACCATGGAAGGATTTAATATAGCTTTAATAAGGCTTTCTAATTTTAAAATCTTCGTAACTATGACAAAGTAGAAAGTTTGATAAAATCTAGCTAATTCTTATTGTTAAAATCATATTGTTTGATAACCGAGAATAATCACCAAGATTACGAATCTAAAAATGTTTAAATTTTAAAATATAGCTGGCTACGTAAAATTTAAACGTGATCTCAATAAAAAACAGGTTTATATTAGCTAACAACTTTTTTAAACTCTAAGAATCAAAATAATGTTCCATTACATTACATAAAAGTTTTGTTTTAGTCATTTATAATTTACATAAATATTCAAGTTACAGTAGGGAAATAAATTTGAAAAAAAAATTATGTAAATAACTATTTACCGTAAACGAATATGCAATTAACTGTCTGTTTCGATTTTCAACTTGCTTTTGTTTGTAATAAATTAATAAAATACAACAATAATGAGTAACAAAGTTATGGCATTGGTTGTATAATTTTTACAAAAGCTTCAAATCAGAACACCAACAATTTTTTTTTTTTTACATAACTCCATTGAGTCAATTATAATTCTATAGCACATGTGATTAGTAGTCAGAATGGTGGAGATTTGTAGTTAATATAAATTGAATGTAAGTAATAGAACACAATTGCCTCTAAATAAATGGTGAGCTACGGAACAGATGTATTGAATATTGATGTATAATATTATGTAGGTATAATATTTTTAATAATATAAAAAATCGAATTCTTTAAAAAATACTTCTCGGAAATTGAAAATTCTTTTAGAATATGGCAATAGTTTTCTTTAAGTATATAATATTATTTTTACTAATACTTTCGTTGGCTGACTCACATTTAAAACAAATGTAATGTAAGTTTATCGAGTTGAACAAATAATATAAATTTCGAGTACCTATATGTACCTATATTATTAATATTATGAAATTTTAATTTGTAATAAAAATTGTTAAAAGTGTATGTAATATTAAAAAAAAAAATAATGGTATGAACTGCAGTACGAATATTAAATCCAAATATTAGCATGTAACATACGCATTATTTTTTTGAATCACCTCAGATCTTATAGCTGGCCCGTAGTTCGTTCAAAATTCCGGTCTCGTTTTCTAAATATAATGTTCTCAGGCCAGCTGTACCCAATATTATATCGTCTTGTGTGCGAATGATAAGAAACCTGTTTCATTTGTTTGACAGTTCTTAAAACCGAGCTGAAAATAAAACAGATACCTCATTAATAATATAGTCATGGGCGACGGTTAATGTCTTAACATACACGCACAATTAATATTATGTAATAATAAAAAATTTTAAACGTTTCGTTAATTTTATCCATCGAGTTTTATTCCGGCTAAGTGCCACAACATTTTCCAGTCTGGGGACATAATATTTAGGTACGCGGTGTGTCCT